AAATTCTTAACCTCGGTCACGCGGCTGAAATGGGCTTTCTAGACGAATCGCTGGGCTCATGCATCTTGATATGGTCCGGAATACAGATATCCGAAAAAGGAATGATTTGCAGCCGCTGTTTGAACAGACTGAGAATAATTCAAACGTACAATGGTTTTGGCATGTCTTTTGAATGCTTCCAAGAGTGAAGACAAAACAGGTAATACCTGCTCGACCAATTTACCGAAGACCCTGGCAAGATCGTTAATTAAATGGGTGAGTCTCTCGATAGATTTTGCTCAAGGCCCGGGTTATCTTCTGTCTAAGCTCAAACCTGGTGGTACTGGATCCATAACGCTGGATAAGCCGTTTAATGCGCCTGCCTCCGCAAGCCGAAAGTAGAAGTGGTTATAAAACCTGACTGACTAATTCATTAAAACCAACGTTGTGAACAACCGTGGGTAGTCACTGCTGGAGCAGTGCTGTTTTCTTTTCTTTCGCTTTACTATTTGCTTATGCAACCGCTAACTATAAATTTTAGTTTTATCCAACAAAAGCGAATACAGCGACGACAAGACTCGTGAATTTCAACTGAAAATTACGAAAGGAGAAAAGAAGGTTCCAACGAACAACTTGCCAGTTCTTTGACGTGCAATCGGCGGGTGTAAATGGTGCAGCTGCAGAGTGTTCGTATCAGTAGAGCACAATCGAACTTTAAAATATGAATAAACCCGTAACAAATCGTTAAGATTATTAACGAGGCATTTAAGCAATATTTTAATATTTTTGTTATAGCGATATTTAAGCAAGACTTCTTGTGAGAAACGTGGATCGTCAATTGTGTACAAAAACGCGACATTGTCAAGCAACAAAACAAACTTTTACGTTTTTTCAGTGTACTGGTTGCTCATCACTATGTAAAAAACCATAAATTACATGCTGATCTATTGATACTTAAATCCGAAACAGCAAGCATAGGTAGACACGTGCATATTGTATAACCATGAACAAAAATCAGCACATCTTACTCAGGAAGACTTTCAACGACCAGGCGGTCGCCAAAGCGGCAGGATCAGCGCAGTGCAAAGGCAAAGTAACGTTGGTCGGTGAGGAGAAAGGTCGTTCATGTGTGAGTTCAATAAAATATAAGTCATGCGCCTCCATCTCGATTATGTAAAAGATTCGGGTCTAAGATAACACAGCGAACGGGACTTACGCCCAGCAGTGCCCTCAAACGGCGGCAAGCTGGAGCTGCTACGCGAACGCTGAAACAACTGGTGAGATTCACGTGCTGATAAGTTAGAAGACGGAAGGAACATAGACGTGTAGTCCGACTGTACGCCAACATCCCTGGCCGATCGGGTCTGTTCTTTCTGTTCAATGAGGCTAAAGAAAAGTCAGTTTAACGGATAAGGAATAAAAACAAAACAATATAACTCGCCTAGTTGCTGTTACAACACTAACCTTAAAGCTTCGGTGTAAGAAGGCGGGGGGTCGAAGTCTAAAGTCACCAGCTGCAGGCTATCGCCGTCGTTTTCAACGAAACTTTGTGTTTCCAGCAACTTGTCATCCTAGAAAGGTCATGACGATCAAAATGTCAAAACAGTATCGTCTAAGAAACATACCTCATCTGCCGTCATGCTCAACACCGGAGCAGTCAGTGCAACACTGTACGATGGCGGAAATGACATGCCAGCGATGCTGGGGCGGGAATCTGGCGTCATCTAAAGAAAAAACAAAAACAACAGTGCAACAAATAAAAACATGTATTTTCATGAAAAGAAACGGGCATAAGATAAGCCACTTGATTTAATAAATTGATTATGTAGATTTAAAGATTTTAATTCAATCTATTTGCACACATAAAGCCTTCCAACTATTACGAGGAGTATCGAGATCTAACAGTCTTACTGTTAGGACAGATCCGACGCCTATAACAATATGGACACACTGCATGAAATAAAAAACGCTAAGCTAACTCCGCAACGGCCGGTCCCAAGCCCGGATGAGAAAGGAGGAGGGTTGGAGATCGTGGCAAGTCTCCGTAAAATTCAGCC